TTTAATACTTATTTTCTATCAAATAAATATTATTTTCGTGTCCTGTCCGTTCTTATACTCAATAAAGTCTCGAAAATATTAGGTCATACACGGCCCACTTATATACCGTGCCGTGCTCGTGCTCGTGCTCATGAAGTTTAGGCCCGGCACGGCCCATAAATTATCCGTGCTTGTGCCGGGCTGGCCCATTTATTTCGTGCCCGTACTCGTGCCGTGCTCTAACCGTACCGTGTCGTGCTAGCCCTTGGGCGGCACGACCCGGTGCCCACGTACATTTGTGACCCATGGTTTGGTTACCACTTCTGTAAACTGACCCAAAAAGAACCGCGGGAGTTAGATGGGCAAACCCGAAGAAGAACAAGCGAAAGACAAAGCAGCTACACTGTCTAATCCAATCCGCCACACCAGCGCCCCATCCATTCGTCCACGGCGGCGGCCGGTGCCAGCTCTGCAGCCTCCACCGACCACCGTCCATCCTCAATCTGCCAACAACTTCCCGCCATGAATCTCGTTAACCACACCTCCGTTTCTCTTCGCTTCTCCACTGAATTATTCTCTCACCGGCGCTCTCTCCCCCTCGGCCGTCGAGTCTTACTCACGAGGTCTTGATTCGAAAAATTCCGCCCGTTTCCCATGGCTTATTTCGACGTAAGGTTCTTCAAATTGCTGTATTAACAGGTGCCGGGTTTATGTTTCCCAGGGCGAGCAGTCTTCCCTTCCCGGCTAACGAGGCCAAGCACCGCCGGGAGCTCGAAGCTGCCATAGGGATTGTGGAGCGCGCTTGTCGCATCTGTGTTGACGTAAAATTTGAATTCCGGTTCTGCTTTTCGCTTAGCATATGCTTGGTTCCTGTAGTCCGAGGAATTCTTCTTTCTTCTTCGAAATTTCTTCGATTGGATTGAACAGGTGCAGAGTTCCGTGCGCTCTAGTGAAGCAGCGTCCGTGGAGAAGAGCGACAGTACTCCAGTCACCATCGCTGACTTTGGTGTTCAAGCTTTCGTCAGTTTTGGTAAGCCTACTCTTCTTGACAACTGAAGGGAGTTGGGATGAACTTATTCTCCACACGACATCAGACCTTTTGACGATTCAGCATTAAGAATTCTAGTGTAATTCGATCTTAGTATCCTTGAGTATTAGATATGGTTCTTCACATTTTTCTTTATTTGATAGAGCTACATCAAGCTTTCCCTGCTATTCCCTTGGTTGCTGAAGAGGATTCTGGGTTCTTGAGGGCAAATAACCTCGTCGATTCTGTGCTCGGTGTGGTAGCTGATAAATCAAGTTCAGACAAGCCATTGACTCGAGCTCAAGTCCTGGAGGCAATTGACAGAGGGGGAAAGAATGCCATTGTTTACGAGAATAAGCCAGCAACTTACTGGGTAAAGTCTATGCTCCAGTGACAGAAAGTAGAAAAATTGGCATCTCTTCCCATGATCGTGAATTTGATCGTACAACTTGTTGCAGATCCTCGATCCAATTGATGGTACCAAGGGTTTTCTCAAAGGAAGTGGTGCCTTATATGTGGTATGTTCTTAACAGGAATCAGATACTTGTACAATATTTTAAGATTATGTGAGAACTAGCTTGATGATTGCCCATGCCCTTCATAACAGTGCTTATACTGGTATGCTTATGTTCTTCTGGTCTTGTGAGTTCTTAATGAGCATGTATCTGTCGACAAATATTAGGTGGGTTTGGCACTTGTGGTTGAAGGGGAGATTGTGTTAGGTGTTATGGGCTGCCCAAACTGGGATGACTCTGAATCCTTCCAATCCATTACAGGGGTCAGCAATGCATTAAATAGAGCAGGAATTGTAATGGCTGCTCATATAGGTTGTGGGACCTGGAGAAGGAGGTTTCAAGATGGCCACCAGAGTGAATCAACTGATCCATCCTTCCATGATTGGAGTAGATGCTTGGTTGACCGGTGTCTGTTAGCATCCCAAGCACGATTTTGCATGACAGATAGTGCAACTTGGGAATCATTGCCTTTGTCGCCTTTCTTTAGTACAACAACTGATGCTGCTGGTGATGGCAGTGGAAGGAGTGTGGTTCTCTTGAAGGCTTGCTGTGGCAGGTAACGGTTTCCTAATTTAAAATGAGAGAGATACCACTGTTCTATTATCTGCATTCTTAACAAATTGCACATTGTTTTCCTCGGATCTCCAGTTTATCCAGGTATATTATGGTGGCTTTAGGAATTGCATCAGTCTTCATTCTGCTAGCGAAACCACGGATATCGACCAAGGTAGTATATCTTCCATTCGAAGAAAATGAAAACCGAAAGCCTTCCAGTTACTGCTTTAATCCTTTTGACTCCTTTTTTCACAACGTAGGTGTGGGATCATGCAGTTGGGTTGATATGCGTTCATGAAGCTGGGGGCAAGGTATTTTTAATTGTCACCACCACTATTTCTGGGTCAAATTACATGCATATTCACCAAAGTTTAGGTCTTTATTTTTCCCTCCTGTTTAAGGCGGCTATCCATTTTTTTATTCTTCGATTTGGTTCTGTTACTCTGCAGGTGACTGATTGGGCAGGGGCTGAACTTAACCTTGCAGAGGATGGTGTGGAGCGAAGATCCTATATCCTGCAGTTGGAGTTCTTGCAACCAGTGGCAAGATCCACAACCAGATCGTGGAGATGATTTCTGTGAGTTCCTCCGCTGGATGAGCCCTGGTCGTTTTGGTAAGTCCGTAATCCATAACCCAAACTGTAATTGTCGCATTTATAATCAGTGGTTTAGTTCAATCTGGTTTTGTTAATCCTTCATTGATTCCCCCTGTCTTCATCCTGTTAACTGAGGAGTCGAATAGAAGTTAAAAGGAACCTTTTTGTGCAGACACTTATAAGTTACAACTTAGTTCTACAAGCATGTCCAGTTGGTGAGGGGGGAGAGTGAACAAGAAGAATAGAGGAAGCAAGATAATGGTGCTAGATAGAAGCATAGGATCCACGGTTTGCCTAGATGGTCAAGTTGGTACCCACGTTTCAGTTTCAGGTATGACTCTTCTACTCTCTAATCTCTCCTTAACTTACACCCCTCACTCTGCATTTTATGTTCCATACTTTTATTGGGTTGATCCTTAAATTTTATTCTATCATTTTGTTCAAGTCTATCTGCCACTGTTGGTCACTTATCAATTTCATTTAATCATCACTTTGATAGAAAGTGGCATCAAAGCATGGTACCGGTGGTTTATAAATTGCATTTGAACCATCCTTTCTGATTCTGAAGCTTTGTTCTTGGCTAGTCTTAGAGGTGTCCATAGCTGTGTTTGTTAGCATAACTGAAGTTCTTTCCAATTAACGGGGTACTGACATACAACTGTACAAGCAAAGTGTCGTGATTGGTACGTAGCTCAACCTCCTACTGATTCTACACTACTGTGTAATCTGTAGATTTTGGCGGTGGTGTAGAATCGGCAGCGACTGGGGTGGTGGTAGTAGGAGGACGAGGACTGATTGTAGTGGTGGTGGTAGGGTTGAAGAAGTTGAAGATGGAGTCCCCCATTTTTGTTCTTCTTTCTCTGTTATATATCAAAATGCAGGTTAGAGAGAATAAAAATAACAGATTTCGCTGTGCACTGTGTGGCAGTGTGGGGGTATTTTGTATTGTAAGGGCTTGGGGTGAGAGGACAGAGTGTACCATTGCTGAAGGAAGCATTGTCTTGCATGATTATGCTCTGGAACTGAGCCATTTGAACTATGGGACTGGGATCTGCTAGACCCCAAAAGCAATGAATAGTCAGAGCTGTTAGTATGATCCTGATTACTCCGCCAGTGTCGAATTTGTAGCTTGTTCCATGATTGTGCGCACATTCGTTGTTGACGACTTAGGGATCTGTTTGAGTTTGATTTGGGTCGACAATCGAGTAATGGTTAAAATTCGTTGTCAAATGTTATAGCTAATTAGGATCTGTATGATGTTTTAACAATAAATGTTGGTACACTTACCCGTTTATTAGTACAGTTTGAGTGAACTATTCCAGCTGTGGTGGAGAAAATGATGTAGTTATGTAAGTAATTTCAAGTTTTGCTTCTGTTCACAAATTGTTGTAAAATTAAAGTTTACTAGTGGCTGAATTGTATGTAGGCCTGTCGGTTCGGGTCGGGTAACCGAACCCGAAAACCGCTAAAAAACGAAAACCCGAAACCGACTCCCACAACCCGAAACCGAACCTCTGTTTTGCGGGTTTCGGGTACAGAAACCCGAGAGATACCCACCAGCCACCAGGCCACGACTAGTGATGAGAAAACCCTCAGGGGCAAAATCGACAAAGTGCCTCCTCCCATCTCCCCCTTCTCTCTCCTCACCCACCACCACGTCCGCTTAAGGCCAGATTAGGGCGGAATCTCCGCTGCTCAAAATTCTCCCATCGGAGCGTTTCCAACGATTTCAAAAAAAATTCGACAAAATCTTCGGATCTTTGTCTAAAGAATCGGAGCCATCTTCGCATTTCCTTCACTGCCTTCGCACTGTGATGCTTCTTCTTCTACCTCTGTAGGGTTCCTTCTCCCCAAAATTTCCCAGCCCCCCTCTGTAGTTCTGATTCTTCATTGGGTCTGAGAGATAGCGCGAAGATGAAGGCCTCCCTCAAATTCCGCGACGAGCAGAAGCCGCTGTTTCGAGCCAAGGTCCCGCTGAGCATTCTGGGCTTGCCTTTCCAGTGCGGAATCGTCGCCGGCGAGGACGATGATGGCGGCGCGGCGAGGACGATGATGGGCTGAAGCGAGGAGGCTTTGTCCTCTGTTTCGTCTCGCTCTGTTTCGTTTTCCAAAAGCGAAGAGACGGCGACGGAAGGGCTGAAGGCTAGGGTAGGGTTGCTCAATTGCTCTTGCTATCAAAAGCCAAAATGACAGCGTGCGTGAATGATGCTAGCACCGGGTTTTGCGGGTTTTTTCGGTTTTGGTAAACCGAACCCGCTGCTGTGCCCATCGGGTCAAACCCGAAAAAACCGAAACCGGCACTGTTTATATCGGTTCGGGTTCGGGCCCGAAACCGAATTGACAGGCCTAATTGTATGTGACCTATGTTATGGTGATGACTTCTGTAAACTGACACAAAAAACCGCGGGAGTAGGCCAGCCCGAAGAACAAAGGAGAAGTTCAAAATAAGTGGTAAAGCTACGCCTACAATGTGTAATCCACCAATCCAATCTCCCACACCAGCGCCACATCCATTTCTCATCTGCAATCACTTCCCGCCATGAATCTCGTTAACCACACATCCGTTTCTCTTTGCTTCTCCGCCGGATTCTTCCCCTGCCGGCGCTCTCTGCCCCTCGGCCGACGAGTCTTCCTCGCAAGGTTTTGACCCATACAGCTCCGCTAGTTTTTCCATGGCTTATTTCGACATAAGGTTCTTCAATTTGTTATTTTGTTTTACTCACAGGTGTTGAGGGTTTTTTTTCCCCAGGTCGAGCAGTCTTCCCTTCCCGGCTCACGAGGTCAAGCACCGCCGGGAACTAGAAGCTGCCATAGGGATCGTGGAGCGCGCTTGTCGCATCTGCGCCGACGTAAAACCTAATTTCCGGTTCAGATTTTCGCTTAACATCTGCTTGGTTCGTGTAATCCAAGCAGGAATCCTTCTTCTTCGTTGACATTTCTTCGATTGGATTGAACAGGTGCAGAGTTCCGTGCTCTCTAGTGAAGCATCGTCCGTGGAGAAGAGCGACAGTACTCCAGTCACCATCGCAGACTTCGGTGTTCAAGCTTTCGTCAGTTTTGGTGAGTCTACTCTTCTTGACAACTGAAGGGTATTAGGTGAACTTTATCTCCACAGGACATCAGACCTTTCGACGATTCAGAATTCTTGTGTAGCATTAGCATGATTTTAGGACCCTAAAGTATTAGATACGGTTCTTTACATTTTTTCTTCTTCTTTTGTTGACAGAGCTAGGTCAAGCTTTCCCTGCTATTCCCTTGGTTGCTGAAGAGGATTCTAGGTTCTTGAGGGAAAATAACCTCGTGGATTCTGTCGTCGATTTGGTTGCTGATAAATCAAGTTCAGACGAGCCATTGACTCGAGCTCAAGTCCTGGATGCAATTGACAGAGGGGGAAAGAATGCCATTGTTTACGAGAATAAGCCAGCCACTTACTGGGTAAAGTCTATGCGCCAGTGACAGAAAGTAGCAGTTTGCTGTCAAAATTGGCAACTTTTCCCATGATCATGAATTTGATTCGTACAACTTGTTGCAGGTCCTGGATCCTATTGATGGTACCAAGGCTTTTCTCAAAGGGAGTGGAGCCTTATACGTGGTATGTTCTTAACATGAATCAGTTACTTGTACATTATGTAAGAATGTGTGAGAACTAGCTTGATAATTGTTCATGCCCTTCATAACTGTTCATAAAAGTGTGTGCTTATGTTCCTCTGGTCTTTTGTTGTCTTAATGAGTATATATATCTGTCGACGAATATTAGGTGGGTTTGGCACTTGTGGTTGAAGGAGAGATTGTGTTAGGTGTTATGGGCTGCCCAAACTGGAACGATTCTGAATCCTTCCAATCCACTACAGGGGTCAGCAATGCATTAACTGGAGCTGGGATTGTAATGGCTGCTCATATTGGTTGCGGGACCTGGAGAAGGAGGTTTCAAGATGGCCGTCAGAGTGGATCAGCTGAACCATCTGACTATGATTGGAGTAGATGCTTGGTTGACGGGTGTCTGCTAGCATCCCAAGCACGATTTTGCATGACCGATAGTGCAATTTGGGAATCAATGCCTTTGTCACCTTTCTTCAGTGCAACAACTGATGCTGCTGGCGATGGCAGTGGAAAGAGTGTGGTTCTCTTGAAGGTTTGGGGTGGCAGGTGAATATCTAGGTGGTTTCCTACTTTAAATTGAGTGATATCACTGTTCTGTTATCTGCATTCTTAACAAATTCCACATTGTTCTCCTTGGATCTCCAGTTTAACCAGGTATATGATGGTGGCTTCAGGAATTGCATCTGTCTTCATTATACGAGCGAAACCACGGATACCAATCAAGGTAGTATTCTTTTCATCCGAAGTAAATGAAAACTGAAAGCCTGCCAGTTACTTCTTTAATCCTTTGACTCCTTTGTCACAATGTAGGTTTGGGATCATGCAGTTGGCTTGCTATGCGTTCATGAAGCTGGGGGAAAGGTATTTGTGATGTCACCTCCACTATTTCTAGGTCAAATTGCATCCATAGTACCTAAGTTTAGGTCTTCATTTTGTTTCTCTAGTTTAAGGCTGCTATCCATCTTTTTGTTCTTTGATTTGGTTTCTTTTGTTTCGCAGGTGACTGACTGGGCAGGGGCTGAACTAGACCTTGCAGAGGATGGTGTGGAGCGAAGGATCTTATATCCCGCTGTTGGAGTTATTGCGACCAGTGGCAAGATTCACACCCAGATCGTGGAGATGATTTCTGTAAGTTCCTCCACTGGATGAGCCCTGGTCCTTTCGGTAAGTCCATAACCGAAACTGTAATGGTCGCATTTATAATCACTGGTTTAGTTGAATTTTTTGTGTTTATCCTTCATCAATCCCCCTGTCTTCACTGTGTAAATAGCATAGGATCCAGGGTATGCAACATATTGCCAGCACTTTGAGTTCATGAAAGCTGTTATAAGTTCCTTTTTCCAGGATGGGATATGGAGAAGATAACATTCCACATTACTATCAGTATGGAATAAGAATGCTCACTTTTTATCTGCTCACCTTTTGCTCTATGTGTCCACATCAACAGGCCACTTGATCACTATTCACTAGTGACTTCTTGTGCCTTCAATTTTTGTGAATTATAGTAGGATTCGTGATACTAACAGCTCAAGATATAATAGCATAAGTGTGTAATGATAAGATTGCTGAGACATGCGTGGATGCTGTGAAATGATAAGATGGGTAACGAATCTTCGAGCTGTTTTTTATTCATGTTTGTATTCTTTTTCACTATAGTTGGCTAGCTAGGCCAATATTTATCTATATAAAGGGCGCATTTGACAAGCAAGGATACAAGTGAGTAGAGTATAGTATCCTTTCCCCACCCCCCAATATGGCACGGCTGGGATCCCAGCTGCAGCTAACCTCAGAAATGGAGAGCCTGAACCAGGTACTAGCCCTGGTGGAGGCCTTCAAGGCCTTCGATTCCAACAACGACGGCCTGATCACTGCAGCCGAGCTCGGAGGCATCCTCGGCTCCCTCGGCTACAACGCCAGCCAACAAGACGTTAGAGCAATGATGCAGCAGGGTGACAAAGACAAGGACGGCCAGCTCAGCGTGGAAGAGTTCTTGGAGATGAACACCAAGGATATGGAAGTTGGTAAGTTACTTTGGACCATATATCCTCTTAAAACATTCTAGCTCTTAAAAACTATTGTCCAAGTTTATTATTAAGTGTCAGATGAATTGGTTCTCGACATTGTGTTAATTTTTTTGATCGAGAGCTCTTATATTCGAGTCATCTTTATTCGAATCCTGGCCTTCATCTACTTAGACATTTGACATACATCGTGTGTGATAACAGGTGGGTTCCTGGGGAACTTGCTGAAGGCGGCGTTGGAAGCTCTGGAGGAAGATGACGACGATGGTGATGATGGGACGACGTTTCTGACTGGAGAGGAGCTTTTCGAGTTTATGGGTGGAGCAGCTGGCGGCGGCCAGCAGCAGATGTCGTTGGAGGACTGCCAGGCGATCGTGGCGGCGATGGATGTGGACGGAGATGGTGCTGTTACCTCTCAGGACTTGAAGCTTATTGCTTCTTCCCTTCTCTAGCCAATGGTTCTCGAGCTCTATGCGCAAGTTTGTTTCTACAGAAGATCAATGATGATGTATGTGACAAAAACAATTGATATATAGCTCGAGTTGAGAGCTTGGGTAGCTTATTTGCTAAAGTGGATTTTATGATACTTAAATAAAAAGTTCTACATGTTATATAGAGTATTTACCATTAATCTGTTTCTTGCTGCGATTAGTGACAACTAACAAGGTGAGCAATCTCGAGCTAGGCTCACGGCCACCAATATCGTTTGATTACTTCCCCAACCATCGGATTCATGATTAGACAAGATTACGGCGGTGTTGGCTATTTTGTCGAGACTTTTTGATTTTACTCGAAATCGGACGGTATAAATCGGGTCGGATCGGTACCAGATAGCAAACAATTCAATCCATTTTCGGGTTTAGATTTGAGGTAAAAAAAACTTTCGGGACCGAACCGAAAACCGGATAAAGACTGGATAAGAGAGTCCAATACCCAAAATTTAACCAACTCCTCACCCTTTCAGGCCTCAGGCCACTCAAATCCCCACAAGTTCAATTTAAAATCAAGACCGAATTGGGACCAAACCGGACTGTATCCAATCCAATCTTTGGTCCTTATATTCTCGAAAAGACCGCCGAAACCAGATCAATTTAACCGGACCAAACCGTATAGCCACCCTCTAATGTGCGGTTAGGGGTGTCAGTCGGTCGGTTATCGGTTAAACCGAGCGACCACCCCCGGCTACCGACCACCGACCGTGGGAGATACAGCGGTTAGCCGACCACCGACCGATCGGTTGGCCAGTTTTGGTTCGGTTAGCCCCAAGCCCGAAAAACCACACACTAATATAAAAAAAAAAATCCAAAAAACCTCCCACCACTCATTCTTTATCTCCTCAATCCTTCTCTCTCCTTAAACTTTTTCGGTTCAAACCCTCCACCACGATTATCTCCTCCGTCTCTCTCCTCCATCTTTCTATCTCCTTTCTTTTTCCACTCAAGAAACAGCCGAGAAGGAGAGCTTGCCGCCGACGGGAGAGGGACGAGCGACCTCGCGAAGCCGGCGTAGGGAGGCGGCGTTCGCGCGGCGGCGGTTGGAGACGGCAGTCGGCGCGGCGGGTGGAGGCTGCCTGCTTGCTTGCATGTCGTGACGGTTGGAGGCGGAGGAGACGGCGGGGTGACGTCGACGATGGTGGAGGCGGCGGTCGTGAGGCGGCGGTGGTCATGAGTCGGAGGGAGAAGGAGGGCGGCGGTGGTCACTTTTTCTTCTTTCTTCTTTCTTCTTCTTCTGGGTTTTTGGTTTTAGATTCCCAGTCTTTATGCGAGTGACCATGGGGTGGGCGGAGCTTGTCGGGTTGGTGACGGTGAGTGGGCGAGGTGAAGTGGTGAATCTGGGTCGGGAAGGAAGGGGACGACGGGGAGGCAGAGGAGTTGGGGATCGAGGAGAGGAAGAAAGTGGAGAGTGAGTTGGGCGAATTTAGTGGTTGAGGAGGGTGGGCTGGATTGGATAAGGGTTGGGCTGTAGTTGGGGGAATGGTGAGTGATGAGGATGAGGTTGGGCCGTTGGGGTAATAGGAGAGGGAGTGGGGTTCTGATGGGTTACAGGAGAAGTAGGTCGTGTGGGCCTGGGAGTGGGAGGAAGAGGCTCGGTTATCGGCTAACTGCCGGTTTCCGATCTCGGTTGGTCGGCTAGCCGAGCCTTCTCCCCTCGCTACCGACGACCGACCGAATGTAATTCAGGACGGTTTTCGGTTAGCCGAAAACCAATCGGTTCGGTTGAAACCGACCGGTTAGCCGCTAACCGGTAAACCGATTGCCAGCCCTATAACATGCGGTACACAAAACCACCACAATTATAATCTTGTACAGTTTCTTTAGTACACCTCAACTATGTACTCATGTATAGACTCAGTTTTTTTTTTTTGGTTGTATATAAGGATATTTACTATCGTAACTAATATCTCGTTATAAAAGATCAAACCAAATGATAAATGGCTAGTCAAATTGTCCCAATCGATTCCTATCCTTTAATCCTTGTGTAAGGAAGTCCAAATGGGCCTGTAAACCGGTTGTCTTATGGGCAACGATGCCCAAGCCAGCTGGGAGAGAATTTGAGTATAATTTTTGGGTCAAATAGTAGGCATCTAAATGATTCTCCCAAAGACCAAAAGAAACGTTGATGTATTTATCTCCACAATCTCACAAACGACGGCAGAAATCAAAGCAAAAGCATTAAGAAAAGAATTTACAGGAAGGATAAAAAGGCAAGGCAAGTAGGCAACGGCGATATGTTACGTTGGATAAAGTTTGATTAAGACGTCTGGATTAATTATTAGTAGGATAAAAGATAACGTGCATTGCAGGCTATGAAGATCATCATCATATATACCATTGGAATTATGCCACCCCCATTCCACGTGGACGATGATCCTGCCACTTTCCGATCCAAGATCAGATTTGGAAAGGCTTTCTCAGCCGTAAACGTGTATGACTATAAAGTCTAAAACCCCGCTGTTTTGTACTACTCTCTGCTATCAACAAACAAAAGATGTGGTGGGTGGGACTATTCGATTAATTAAGGACCTTAATGACGTTTGATTAATCTGGTCTATTATATTCAAGGTAAAGACTTAGCAATGCGTGTATTTCTTGAGAAAACACTAGTCACGGGCCCGGCCAGTTGGCCGGATTCAGTTGTCAATCACGTAAATGATAGTAGCAATTTGTATTCGAGTTACTAATTAGTATATGAAAATCTAAGTTATTCAAATAATGTAAACATTTAAATCGATTGGGAGAATAAGAGAATCCAAATAATCAAAATATTTCAACAATTCAAAATGGCCCTTCTAGTTACTCCTCATCGTTAGAGATTACTGCACGTTTTCTTTTTGGGTTCTTTGCATTTGCTCCGACATGAGCAGCAACTTGATCGTCACCATTAATAATGTCTTCATTTCCATTGGAAGACACTTTTATCTTCAATATCAATTGACTCTTCCTTCTTCTCTTGCAAATAAATTATCTCTTCCATGTTTTCGTGCATTTCATTGAGAATTTCTTCTTTCTCCCCATCACCAATCTTTATATTTTTCTCATTGTTGTTCTCCTACATCAGCATTATGAATTTAAATTATTGACATTTAAAAGTACAACCTATGATGTGATTCTATCGAATTATAAGTGATCAATATATGTTGTTGATAAATAGTCGGGTAAAATTAATTGCAAGTTAGTGGAAAAGAAAGCAAAGTTCTATGAAAATTAGAATTTCTAAATCAACTATATTTCCAAACATGCAACGAAAGAAATAAAAGGGTGGTTTCCACCTTTTAACTTGAGTTAGATTTATTTTAATATAATTCATCAAATATAATTTTGTTAATTAAAATATCAGCTCCCTTCATCCGTGTATTGCAAGTTATCAATTAGATTATATAATATAACTGTATGAATTCTGCTTGGTATAAAAATCTAAATCCAATATAGAATAACACAAATTTGTAATCAATAATGTTCATCATTTTGATTGAAATAGAATTTACCTCGATCAAGTTAGGAAGATCATCAGTGGTCTGATCTACCTCGTCCTTCCCTATCTTCATAATGTGCTCACTTGTTGGATTAGCAATATTGTAATGTCTGAGTTCGATGCAAAACTTCAAGATCATTGCCTCAATTTGTAAGAGATGAGCAGGTAGTGGTCCTCTAATTATATCGTTGTCTTGGAGTAACCTTTCAACAGACATTCTAAAAAAATCAAGCTCCCACTCTATCAATAACAACAAAGTCAGCCTCTCTTGTTTTGACCATAATTCGAAGCTTGGTCCTGAATCTATATATTGATGGCAGTGACATTAAAAACCCCAATAAACTGTCAAGCTATACGTTATTTTTGAGTTGGTAAAGGCAAAATTTCAGAATTATTCAATCAATACATCCCACCAAAATAGATAGGCAAAGGGAAGTTCACGCCAATCAAACAATCACCTCTCCTCGTGCAAACCAAATGTGAATGGAAGAGAAACGTAGCCTTGTATGAAATGCATATATCCATCTTTTACTAAGTCACCAATCCCATGGAATCTGTTTATATTAACCATATTTAATATAATATTATAATATGTACATAAGTTGTTGAATTCTGGGCCATGCATTGGTAACTTTCAATAAAAATGTTTTTTTTGCATTAGTAATATAATTTATGCATTCCGCGTAAGAATAATAATATAAATTATGTTGTAGAAAATTAAATATCCAATCAGTTGGCATGTATAATCTATGCATTACCTTGCTATTGTCATTATTAATGTCGTTGAACAATTCCCACGGAAGTGCTCATCAGAGTCTTCTTCGAGTTTTTGTGGACAGATTTCGCATCTAGCATAGCACCATCAATTCTTAACCTTGACAACTTTGCAGTTGACGGAATATATATTTCCCTACATATTACATAAAATTTAGTATTTGATAGTTGATGGGGAGTTAAATCGAAACTGATACTCACCTCTTCTTCATCTTTCATTTTTAAGTTTTTTAGAGATCATCTTTCATTTTTAATTGATTAAGCTCATGCAGTGTTTTGGTTGGGATTGGCTGTTGGGCTTTTCTTGTGATTTTCATAGGAGGAGTTGGTGCATCGCCATCACTTTATTCACCAAATAAGAATTTCAATTAATCTCTTTTTGTTCTTCGAACTTCAAACTTATACGCATAAACAAATACAGTGATTAGATTGTCGTGAATTTCAGCTTGGCCCAAAATTAATAACTTCCAAAATTCTTGGATTCGCAAGCAGCAAGGTTGATCCAATTGAGGAGAAGGTGTTCTCGGCTGCAAATTTGTCGATTATTTAAATAATAGTGGTTAAGTTGTTTGTTTAACCATTGTCATCAATAGTTGTATGGTTGTAGAGAATCCCTTCGGAAAATGTATAGAACATACGACATTAACAACATATGCATAGGTATTAACAAAATATTGTTGGAACAACACAATAGCAATGCATTTGATTCTTCCAATATTGTTTGGAGTCTATAACTGTAAAACTCACAGTAAGTCACATTCTTCTCGTTGTAACCATATGCATCATCATCGTCAGAATATGGAATATTCGGGTGGCAACTATCCTCACCATGTGAGAATAATATGGAATATTGCAAAACCATTAAACTTGGATGATATATACTAATTTGTTCCAGTTCGTGACTTTGCTACAGGACAACAATATTAGGAGAAAATGTTTGCTCCCTAGTATATTCAACAATTAAAGCAGCAACCTCATTTGCAAATAGCAAATCATATTCC